CATTAAATCGGGTGCCACATTAATGTGCTTCAACTTTACTTTCTTTGTGTGCAGCTGCTGAGGCTACCCATGCAGCCAGCGACTGTGAAGGTCAAGCGACTCGGACCTGCCGAACCTTGGTTGCACTGAAATAGAAATGGGAGTTTCTCAAAAAGGGGGGGCCCTAGGGACCCCAAGAATTATAGAGGGATTATAAGGGGATTTTATGGGGCCCCCTTAAGGGATTATATTGAGAAGTTCCCAAATAAGAATGAACATAATGATGGTAGTAAAAGGCGAATGATAGTAGGAATAGGCGTAATAATCTACCAAGAATGATAGTAATACCAATAATGATAATACTGAGGCTGTGATCTGTTGAAGCGAATTGTAATATCATGTAGAGTGATTCCTGCATTTGCGGTAAGAATACATGTACTAGTCATACAAGTAGTGCTATAACTGATGCCACGAGGTGCTTCCTGCAGAACCTGGTTGCAGCAGCTGCTCGTCAAATATAGGTATTCTGAAGCATGCCTGAAAGTGTGTATAGCCGCCTCAGGATTTGGAGCATTTTTGCTGTCCTGATCCTCGTTGTGACTCTTTTAGTCACAATCTCAGCTGCTACTCTCTGTCGTTGGCATGTGAAGCTGCGGTATTCTGGACAGGCTTTGTGTTTCTTCGTTTTCTATGGGGTCGCGCCACGGCAGCAGTTCGTGTTGGTAAGTTCGTAGGGAATGAAGGAATGGAAGAACTCTTATAGCATTGGGGGCTATATACTCCAGGGGCTACTAGGGGGATCCATTCCCTGATTCCCTACTATAACCACCACTATGATTTCCCTAAACCCTAAACAACCCAACACCCCAAACCCCAAACCCTAAACCCTAAGCTTGGGAATCCACAGCTCCGGTACCACTGTCATTGCAGGTACGGGTGTTTGCCGATTTCGACTGGAGCCGCTCCACTTACTGAGACAGGGGCTTCCAGAAATCCGTGGGCCCCTTTTTGTAGTTCCTAGAATGTATGAAGGATTAGAGTACTTTGGGGGTATGTAAGGGGGACCACCATTTGTGGAAGTTCCTAGATGGCATCCATGAGAATAATCTTTGCCATCAGACAAATTCCTTTACTTCTTAGTAGGGAAAATGGGAATATGCTATATGGGGATCATGTAGGCGTTATAGTCACCCTTAAGTAGATAGAATATGGGGTATATGGGGATCTTATTGTAATGTACCCAAAGCCATATTCTATCTGTTTAAGGGGGACTATAGATTCCCTTATTCCCTGCCAAGAACCAGTAGGACTCTTCGAGGCCAGTTTTCAGACTCTGCGAAGATGCGCGACATCAAGCGGCTTGCTTACATGGCAGTCTCTTCGCCTGCTTACCTTGGGCTGGAATAGGGTTTAGGGTTTAGAAATTGTTTAGGGTAAGCCCTATTAGCCCTAGATGACTCCAGCCTGAGTTCGTTGTCCATGTCTTTCCATCTGATTCTCCGCTGGTAGCATTGCTAAACCTCTGGTTTGGGCTACTATAGGAGGGGATGCGAATAGGGTTTATAGTCCCCCTTAAGTAGATAGAATATGGGGTATATGGATATCTTATTATACTTTAGCCAAAACCATGTTCTATCTACTTGAGGGGAAAATAGGGTTTAGGAAGCTTCCCGTGGACCATGGAAGGTCAGTGTTGGAGAAAGCAGGCATAGTGCTGGCCTCAGCCATGTTGCGAGGGTTTTACACGGGTTATAAAGGGGTTAGAAATGTAAGGGGAAGTGTGCAGGTGGATACCAAAATGAACGTGAACTTTCAGAAAGTGGCAGCTGAGTTTCGAAGCTACTTGGTTAGCAGCAAGAGTTATCAACTCGGCCCTTTGATGACTCAGCAACGCCAAGGCTATCTGCTGGACACTGCCTCATCATTTTTCCACTTTGTTGAAGGCCGGTTGCGTCCAGTAAATGGTGGCAGCGTGGAAAACACGTTGTCGTGAGTCCAACTCTCCAGGATTTATGCTTTGCGTGCTGATGTTCATCTTCTGCCTGATTGGCATGCTTCCAGAGATCCATTCAGGGCGCCCCTTGCTTTGACTAAAACGGCAACAGCGTGATAGCAATATCCTACAGATGACACTACTGGTGCAGTTGCAAGAATTGGGAGGTCCCCCCTTCCTTCCAGCCAAGGACGCCCTTCCCCTGTCAAGGATTTGGACCTCTCCTCAGCACTTGTATGCAACATACTTTGTCAACCAAGCAGTTCGATGAAACAGTTGTGACAAAGGTACAGAGGTACTTGATTTGCAAGTGCGTCTCTAGCCTGGTTATCGCGGCACCTGGTCGGCAACAGCCCGGTAAACACAGAGGCGCTGTGCTTCTTTAGTCCAATCCAGAAGTGTGCAAGCAGAGATTTTTATGCTAATCCCAGAAAGCCAGAGACTGTAGATTCAGATGCTGCGCCGCAGAGTGGTTGAAGTGCTTTTACTTATGTTAGCGTGGCGGATGCTTAGGCCGAACAGCCCGGTGTGTCAGAACCTAATATGAGCTATAGTCTAAACTCCTGAAATAGGCCGGGGGGGTTATATGGGGGATTGTACAAGGCAGTATTATAGGGGTTTATCAAGGGTGATACTAGGAGATTGAGACCATAGCTTATTGTATAGGTGGACCGTGCTCAGGTCCTGGTCATGTGCGCGCTATGGGCAATGAAGGTTCCGTTGGTTGTCGTTGGGCCCTTACTCTTATTGCTGGTCAGTAGGGAATAAGGGAAAAAAATCCCTACCCTGAACCCTATATAATCCCTACGTACGGTATTCCCTTCTTCCTGACTGACCTCCAGTAAGTACTGGTGCCCTGCAGTGGCAGCTGTGGGGGCAAGGCTCCCCCAACCGAATCATCAAATTTGTGGGATGCTTGCTATGAGGACCACCCCCAAAGCCCTATAGGCCACCTTAAGTAGATAGAATATGGGGGATTTGGGGATCTTATTATAATATTGGTCAGTTCCATATTCTATCTATTAACGGGGGATCATAAAGCCATACACCTTTTTAAACCCTAAGCTCTAAACCCTAAACCTTTGTTTTAGACAACATCCCGGACACGTGCATGCAAAGCCGGGTCAGGTCTGGGGCCTCGTCACTTTCATCACGAACTTCATTCCGAACTTAGGCGGAAGTTGCTCGCGTGCAGTGACGCTAGAATATTATAGTATTTCTTGGTATGTTATAGTATGTTACGGTAACTATAATGTTGGGGTTATAGAGGGGTTATGTTGGGATAGCCTTGTCTTGTACTTGTCCATGAGTGCGCGCAGCTCTGCTAAGCCAGCAGTGCGAACGAAAAGGCTCTTGCGTTCAAGTCGAGACTGCCCTATTATAGCATTGTAGTTTCCATTTTCTTTTCCATTATCCCTATATAACGCCCATACAAGCAGGTCCTCTCTTTGCAATCCTGGCGCCAATCCCATTTGTTTGGCTAAAGCCGGATGGTACGCCACTTGTCTGAAGAAACCCGGAGCCCAGGGTTTTAGGGTTTAGGGCTTAAGGATTTGGGGTTTAGGTTTTAGGGTGTTCCCTTAGTGTTGTCTTAGTGGTTCAGTAGGGAATAATGCTCGCCTCATAATAAGAACCCCCCTCCCTGAGGATGTGGGCCCGAGGCTCCGTGATTAAGAGGATCCGCGTCCATGAGCTGGAGCTGCAGTCGTCGTAGCCCATAGTCGTACTAGCTAGTGGTAGAAGCACCAATAGTTTCTGCGTTTTGGCAGATCGGATTTTGCAATCACGAGGAGGGGGGTGGAATTGCCTTCTGGGATTTGGATTTTGCAGTTATGCGAGTTTATTAATACGAGGTCAACATTGAGGGAATAAATTCTATGATTAGGGATTACATTCTCTTATTCCCTGCTCTGAACCAGTGACTTGTTCTTTGAATTCTTGGCTCAGGTTACTGGATACCTTTATCGTCATTCTCGTTCAGTTCTTGGTGCCCCGCTTGGCAGATGAGGATGAATGTTACGCTTTGCCTGCTCACCGCTTTTACTGGGTTGCTGTTAAGAAATTTCAATTAAGTTGCCATAATGGGTAACCATGGTAAATGATAGGGTTTCCCCAATGTAGTAACTTGAATTAAGTTACCATAATGGGTATATAGAAAATAATAGGGTTTCCCAAACATAGTAACTTGAATTAAGTTCCTTAACTTAACAGCAACCCAGTTGGGCGCCTTTGCGAGGTGCACAACATAGCTGGCAACATCATCGAGCCCCACATTATGTCACAGGGAGATGGCCTTAAATGATTCAGCTTCTTTGGAGTGCTACCCATTCCGGCATATCCTTATAGGTCCTGATGTTTGAGACATGTGTATATATATATATATATGGTCACCCCCCCTCCCATGATCTACCTCCAGGTCTTTC